CCCACAGAACATTCTCCCTTTCATTACCCAGTGTACTTCCCACGCTTGTACATATCTCCTTTCTTACCCAATCCCCTACATGCCTGTGGGCGTTAACAGCAATCTCAAGGGAAATCTGTATTTGCAAGTGAGAGATGGGGACAAGTTAATTCAACCAACTGAAGCCCTTTGCAGATGTTTCAGTGAATTGAAGTGGTTTCATTAGCTGTGTTATCTAGCTTTGTATTAAAAGGATCCTTTTCTTCACTAGAGATTAGGAGAGCTAATGTAAAATTGTGAATTTAGTGTTATTTTAGATATCTGAAAAACACAGTTCTGAATATTTTGTAGACAACGTCAGCAACTTTCTTGATATGTAATGGATAGTCACTCAGTATTTATTAAATGTCAACTCTGGGAATGATGATTCGCAGCATCATGATTTATAAGTATGTTGTAATCCCAAATGTGCATTGTAGTAGTAGGTTTTTTCTTTTAATTTTTTTTAAATGATAAAGCAATGCATTCAATTCTAGGAACTGGCAAATCTTAAATGTCAAAGAAAGGATGAAACATTTGCTTTTGAAATAGAGAATTCTTATTTTTTGAAAGCATTTTACCCATGTGTGCAGTTATTGAAGTAAAATATTTGTACTTGGCAGACTTGTCTTCACCAAATGTCACATCTCAGACTTCTCTTTGATTAGAGACATGGGGGCAATTAATTTTCAATGAAATGTGGAGAATGTAGTTGATAATTACTAGATGGAATTTATGTTCTTTTGTAAAAAATTGTTTTTTTTTCTACAATTTATATTTATCAATTGTTATAAGCCTTTGTTACCTTTAAATTTGCTTCTGGCTTCTAGCTGTTCACAAATTTAACTGTTCACAGAGGAAAGGAAAGTCAAATTAATTATGTTCTAATTATATTTAATTACCAAAGCTAATGTTTTTACTTCTGTTCCAAAATATATATTTCTGTATATAAAATAGTGTGTTTCATCAACTTTAAGAGACATTTTATTCACATTTGAACACCATTGTCATCAGGTTATCTCGTATAATGCATGACATAATTATAATTGATAACATTTTTACTTTTGTAGTGGCACATATAATAAGTGTGCCTTACAATTCATGATGTCTTCAACTGGCTGAAAATCAGTATAAAGTAAAGGTCTTTCATCAAGTTTAGAACCCCCTTTTGAAACACGTTTGTAATTTGTGTGTACTCATGAGTATGCACATCTTTCACTTACTGGTGACCCGAAATCGAGGCAGAATTTTCACTTACACTGTTAACTTTGGAGATAGGTATATAACAAGAAATAATTGGGAAATTTGCTATTAAGGACACTGCAGGCTCGATACATTAAGGGGTTGTTTGAGTTCGCAAAGCTGAAAACTAGTTAATAGCATCATAAATAGAACCCACTCCTCCTCATTTCTAGTTTTCCTATCATTTTAGCTTTGATGTTTAAAGATGACCCTTGGGAGGTTGTTGCTGTATTCACTATAGAGTGACCAGATGGCCAATATTTGATAAAGAGCCTTTTTGCATGACCCACCCTCAGGCAGTCTCCATACTTCTTTATGGGTTGAGGCTCACTTTGTTACTGGAGCATCTGTTGCCTGAGCTTGTCATTTTGCACATTCACTGAATGGACTTCCAGTACCTTTTCTCCAAAAGAATGAGCCCAGATTGTCATGGTTCAGGTCCTTCTGTTCCTTCTCATCGTAATTATGGTGCAAAGTATGAAATGATATATCTTAGTGCCAACATTTTGAGTTGCTTGAAGAACTTTCAATGTAGTGCATAGTCCCGTGAATATCCATGCTCATACACTCCCTCCTCCTACCCCAAAGGTATTTTAAAAATCATGTGCAAAGACTCTGTGATGAGAATAGGTGGTCCTGAGGTGGGAACATGATGCACAGGAGGAAATAGTTTAAGACCACATGTTTGGAGCAGAGAAGGCGAGTGTGGGAAGGGCTAGAAACATACCATCATACTGACCCTTGCGCTCATTCTAGAACAAAGGGAATCCTCCGGAGGCTTTTCCTTTTTGTTCGTTTTTTTTTTGGGTCAGATTTGCCTTTACTTTAAAAAGATTACTCCTGAAGACTTGGTTGTGTGTGTGTGAGGTGAGGAGGTTTGTTAAGGAGGATGGCTATTTGGCAGAGACCTGTTTCCCTGGATCGATTGGGATAAGCGAGTGCCCAAGTGGGTGGGAGATAAGAAAATAGAGATCTGTGAATAGATAACTTTGAAAAAGTTTATTTTCCAGGGAGGAAAGAGATCACTGAACTTATTTTTCACTCTCATTTTACTCTCTAGGCCTCTGGATACCATTCTGTTATTTTATTCTCACTTTTAACACCCCTACAGCAACCTGGATCCCAGGGTCATCCATTTCCACTGGGTGTCGGCACTTCTGCCTGACTTTTTGCTTCTCAGTGATCTCAAACCCTGCCTCTCAAACACGCTGGGTCAGAATCCATCTTCTCTTCTATACTCCAAATACTTGCTCTCCCCTAATTCCTCTACGTTGTTAGTGGTGCTGCCATTTCTGACTCTTCCCACTTTTGTACCTACTCCCCAACCTGCCCTACGAATTGTCCCGTTTGCTGCTATCCAGAGATTCTGGAGTCTTCGTGATTCAGTCTCTTTATTGTCTCTTGGACGTGTTCAGCTTTCTCTTCTCATGGTCACTACCTCATCTTTTTGACTGGGCTGCTGCCTAATTCTCAGTGCTTCAGTTAGAAAGTGGAGATTACAATACCTACCTTGAAATTTTGCCAGGAGCAGTAGTTTAAATAAAATGTGTAAAACATATAACCATAGTGGATGTTCTGGGCTTCTCTTGTTTCCTATTATTTATCTGCTTAGCTCGTTTTTAGTCACACCCTTTGTTTTTATCCTGCTACCAGAGTTGTCTTCTCTAAATATGCCCCCTTTTGGCTACACCTACAGTGTAGCCAAACCTTCTTGACATCTCAGTCCATCCCTTATGATTCCATCCTTTGTGTCTTTAATGTCTTGACTGTCAAGCCTTTCCTGCTTCTGTCCCAGCTGCATTAGATGACTAGATGACTAGATATTGTCTAAAAGCCCATTTTGACATTACTTTTGTGGATTTTGATTCAGAATGCCCTTTTTTCCTTTCTCCCTATCCTCTGTTTAAACAATGAGTCGAAAATTTATAAGTTGGTAGAATTATATATGTATTTATATGCATATAAATATATGTATATATATGCAGACATATGCTTGTATCTCACAAGCTATTTATCATCACAAGAGGTAGCATGAAGTTGGCTCTTCCATATCTTAGTCTCCAGACTTGTGTGTTTACATCTGTTCTATAAAGTGCGGTTTAAATGGATGGTCTTTGTTTCTGCCTTTTGTAAAGGCCTGGGCCTGAACTTAATAATAACACAAGTAGAGTGATTCTTTGAGAAGAACAGAGCTAACTCACCCAGATCTTTTGCTTTTTAATAGAATTTAAGGAATTTAGATGTATGTCAAATTAGCAGACAAAGGAAAAAACGAATCAACATTTGGCAAGCAGTTTATGTACATTATGTGATTTAATCATCTGAAACCCCCACGGGATAAGTAGGTATTTAACACATGAGAAAATTGAGGACTAGAAAGGTTAAGTTATTTGCCCAAAATACAAAGCTCTTTAGGCTCTCTTAGCTTTTAGGCCCTCCTACAAAGAGGGATGGCTGAGCAACGTTAAAGTGTGTGCTTTAGCTTTTGTCAGCTGTGATTTTTTTTCTGAACACTGATTATTCTCTAGACCATAGACTGTTTACTCCAGACAGTTTTTAAAAAGTAAAGTTTTGGTTCAGTGAATGTATTTATTGTGGGGTTTTCTCTTCTGGATAATCTTGCTACTTAAACACCTTGTAGCCATAAAAATAATACATGGTTTTCTGTTATTATGCTTATTTTCTTAGCGTTATAAAGTGTATTAAGTGTATGCATTATATTTAAATTAGACATAAAACAAATATTTGTTTAGCACAATAGGAAAGAAATGAAATTCATGGTAGATGAATGCATATTCTAAATACGTTATCACTTTTATGTGTTTGGAGTTCTGTATACGTAATTCAAAATCAGGGATGTCAGTGCCTTGGGTTAAGTGGTGGTAGTGGTAGTGGCAGTAATAACAAGGTCAACCCTGGGTTAAGTGGTGGTAGTGGTAGTGGCAGTAATAACAAGGTCAACAGCAACAGCTGTTGAGCTGTTACGTTCATACATGTGTGTTACATTTGTTATATACATGTTCAGTAACCCTCAGAGGCAGGTAGTAGTATTATCTCCATTTTACAGATGAGGAAATCAAAGCAGAGGATAGGAAACTTATCTAAGGTTAGCTAGGAACACACTGTGCTGACTTGGCAGTTCTAAGTCAGAGTTAATTCAGATTTGTATTGTTAACCACTTAACGACATTATTGAAATGAATCTCAGTTAATGTGTTGTTATTGCATTTCCTGAAATTTGGACCCACTGCACTTTATAGGGGCATTGGTAAACAGATTGTCTTCAAAGTAAAAATGACTAGGCCTAGAAGGGTTATATAGAAATCACTTGAATTACTGAGGTATCCTCAAGGAACTAAGGTACTCCTTACTGCGTTATTAACAATACTGTTTTCAAAATTCAGGTATGAAAATATTATAGATTCATGAAGATATTTTGTTCTATAAGATGTCATTGAAATGGAAAATTTCATGTTTAAATGCTTGGGAGTAGGTTGTTTTTAATTATAGCAGATAAGGAATTTTTAAAAGGTTTAGGAGGAATAGATAAACTTATATTTAGCAAGCAGTAATAATGGCTTCTAAAATTATATTTTGTAGGAAGATAAAGTTTGAGCTAATAGAGACAATGGTTTTATAAGTTTGAGGAAATTTTTATTGGCTAAGAAATAATACTATGTAATATATTTTAATGCCTTTTTATTAAACTCAGTATTTTCCCTTCTTTTTTTTTTTTTTAAGTTCTTCAAAGGACATGGATGAAAATGAAAGTAACCAGTCCCTGATGACAAGCAGCCAATATCCTAAAGAAGCAGTAAGAAAACGCCAAAATTCAGCACGGAATTCTGTAGGAAGTGATTCTTCTAGGTTTTCCAGGAAAAGTTTCAAACTGGATTACAGACTAGAGGAAGATGTAACTAAATCAAAGAAAGGAAAGGATGGGAGATTTGTTAACCCTTGGCCAACATGGAAAAGCCCCTCTCTTCCAAATGTTCTCAGATGGCTGATAATGGAAAAAGATCACAGCAGCATTCCATGTTCCAAAGAGGTAGTGTTTGGCTCTACTGAGTGCTGTGTATTTACTCTTTCCTTATATAACTTTGCTGTGAATTGTATTATGACATTCGAATTACTTAATTGAGCCCCTTTTATATGATAAGGCTGAGGGCTGGGTTCTGGGGAGATAAAGTGAATGAGGTGCCCTCAGGTTCATGGTTTAGTAGCAGAGTACATATATGAATAACCAGTTCTTATCTGGTGGCAGCTAGAGGCAGGAACAGAGTGCTTTAAAAGTACAGGAAAGGAGGCAGTTAATTCTCACAGGTGGGTTGGAAATGGCTTGACAGAGGAGGTAATATTTGAGCTGGCCTAGAAAGATAAACAGTATTTTGGCAGTGGTTTTCCAGGTGGTATGAACAGTCACAAAGGTGAGAAAGTGCATATGTTCCAGAAAGTAGTAACCTGATACGTGTTTCGAATATGAATCCTGAGGGTTAAGGCATGGCCTAGAGTGCTTGCCTTTTCATCCTTGGGTAAAGCTGCTAAAGCTATAAAAGAAATCTTCAGATTGCCTTTCCAGGCCTTTAAAAATTGCCAGTAGGTTACTGGTTTTTAAATATGCTGGTTTTACTTAGGATACAACTTACTAACATTTGGCATAAGGTTTATTAGATGATGAATGAGATTATACTTTGGCAGGGGTGGGTGGCTCCCAATTGCAGTAGCACCTTTTTCTCCTTTTTCCTTTCTTAGTTTCTTGCCCCTCTCCTATGTCCTATCTCCTTCGGCTCCTCTTTTTCACCAACCTCTGTCCTGCCAGGCTTTATGGGGGAGTTGAGAGATAAGGACCCTGACATTGGGGGTGGGGGATGAGATGAAAAGAGTGGGGGTGGCCTGGAAACCTTTATCTGCAATGGAAGAGGCAGGAAGGGCAGTGGCGGCGGGGGTGGGGTGTTCGATACTTTACCTTGGTATGTCTGTCCATTTGTCTTTTAAGGATGTGGGATAAAAAACCTGACATCACTTTGATGCTGAGGAATGTTCATAGTATTAATCCTAGTTAGCAGAATTGATTAACATGAATAATATTTTACCAGCATTTTTTTAGAATGAGGCAGGGGGCATTAATAGATAAAACTCTGTCAACCTTTATCTGCAGGATGGGAGGAACAAACATTTTTTTCTTCTGGAGAAACATGGAACTGAGCTGTGAAGAGAAGAGTTAGGGTAGGAGGCTACTTGTTGGGATAAATTTCTTCCTGGCTTTTGTGCCACAGCTTCTAAAAATACAGAGATCGCCAATGGTGTCTTTAGTTTTGTTTCATTTCAAAGAGGAAGTGAGTGAACACATGAAGGCAGAAATACATCTCTGCAGTCTAATAATTTGGAGATATTCTAGAAACTGTTGAATCTCTAGGAACTCTCCAGGCCAGTGGTCCTTAGGCTCTTTTGGATACTGGCCCCTTTTGAAAATCTGATGGAAGCTGTGGACCTTCTTCTTAGAGAAATATATACACATGCATATAAACACATTGCCTTTTACTATAATGGACCCTCTCAAGCTGGTCCACTCTCATTTATCCATTCATTCATTTAATTAGTATTTATTGAGCACCTGCCAGGCACACTGTTCTAGGTGCTAAGGACAGCGCCATGAACAGCAAAAAAAAACCCCACCCTGACTGCCTTGGACCTTAGATTTAGTGGAAGAGAGAGACAGTAAACAAATAAGGAAATTATGTGGTATATTAAAAGGTGACTAGCACTCTGAAGAATAATAAAGCAGAGAGGGAAGTTAGAGTGATGGAGGTGGGAGCTGCATTCTTTAATGAAGTGTAAGCTTTTTTTTAAGGTAGGAGATTTTTTTTAAAAGAAAACATCAAAAGAGTTCTCAATATATCCTACTTAAATTTGGCATATAAAAGGAGAGAGAAGACACTTTGCCTTATTCCAATTTATATTTTATTTATCTCTTACCTATATCTTGTTTCCAATAAAAAGGCTAGAACTAGATCAAATGCATGTTGACTTCTGTTATTTCCATAGATAACTATAACTCTAAATTTAATCTCTACTATTGATTTGGAAGGAGACAAGATAATATAGCTGCAGGATTATAATTACTACCAATTATGCACTTTATATCACATTTAGGTATATAAATATGAAAATGTTTTAGAAGAAACATGATTAAAATATAAAAAAAGGCTAGAACTAGATCAAATGCATGTTGACTTCTGTTATTTCCATAGATAACTATAACTCTAAATTTAATCTCTTTAAATTGCCAAATTACTAACTTTTACCAACTCCTAAATGTGATAGAATTCTACATTTTCTGGGGGGGAAAAAACCTCAACCAAACCATATTAAGAACCACGTAAAGAACACCTGCTTCAGATCACTGGATCAATTCAGAATTCAATCAGATTTCTGAAAATTGTTTTTATTGACATTGGGAGGCTAGAGTTTAATAAAACACAACTTCAAACTATTGATTTGGAAGGAGACAAGATAATATAGCTGCAGGATTATAATTACTACCAATTATGCAATTTATATCACATTTAGGTATATAAATATGAAAATGTTTTAGAAGAAACATGATTAAAATATAAAAAAAATTAATAGAACAATTCTAAATAAAATGAAAAAGGGTCATTAGCAGAGCTACACAATTTAGTTGCTTGATCAAAGGACCATGCTTCTTTACTTGGACCATTCCTGATATTTGCCTTTTCTGGGTCTTTCGAGCAATGTGCCAGTTCACAGGCTTTGTATTGTTCAGGTGCCATCATTGCTTTATGCAGTTGCAGTTGGCTCAGTGACTTGTCTGATTGTTAATCATAGTCACCAATAATAGTCAGGGGAAAGAGAGAGTTGGAAAATTTCAAAGAGGGAGGAAGAGAGGCACCTCCTGAGTTTCATTAGTTGAAGGAGGCTGTCCTTATCAGTTACTACTCTAGAAGTGAGCAGGGGACAGTCAGATCAGAATGCGAGAGAGACACAGAACCGAAGCTGTACAGAATGGCCTGGTGGAAAAAGTGGGACACCAGGAGTGCAGAAAACAGGCTCAGGTTCAGGATTCCTCACTGGGTATGTGACCTTATTTCTGTCACAATCCCTCAAGGACCTATTTTTGGTTGTTGTTGTCTGTAAAGTTAGGATAAGACAGTTTAGGTCACTAAGATTGTTTTGAGGTTCACGTGACACATGAAAGTACTTTGAAAATATAATACACTCTTTAGCTGTATGATATTGAAGAATAGGGTACCTTTTGGAAAAATGAAACATCAGTTATTTTATACTATAATATTAGTTTATACTGTACTATTTTATACTCTAGTATGCTAACAGGTTGCTTTTTTATGAAGAGAAAAAAAATACATGTATGCAGTTTTTAAAAAGTTGTACTGAAAGGCTTATTAGACAAATACGAGTCCCCTAACCCAGGGGTCCCCAACCCCAGGCCTCGGACAGGTACCTGTCTGTTCTGTGGCCTGTTAGGAAGTGGGCTGCACAGCAGGAGGTGAGTGTTGGGTGAGCCAGCAAAGCTTCATCTGTATTTGCAGCCGCTACCTAGCACTAGCATCACTGCCTCAGCTTCACCTCAGATCATCAGGCATTAGATTCCCATAGGAGCACTGGTCCCTGGTGCCAAAAAGCGTCGGGACCGCTGCCCTAACCAGCCCCTGCCACCCAGTACCCCTCCCCTGAGGCAACAACTTTCAACCCTTTGTCGCCTCTGGAGTTTACCCTTTTTAATGTAGTTAAGAACACTTAACGTGAGATCTATCCTCTTAAATTTTTAAGTGTACGTTATTGTTGACTGCAGATACAATGCCATACAGCAGTTCTCTAGAGCTTATTCGTCACGCTTCACACACTTTTGCCAGTTGATAGTAACTTCCCATTTCCTTCTCCCCCCAGTCTCTGGCAACTACCTTTCCACTCTTCGATTCTATGAATTCGACTATTTTAGGTACCCCAAATGTGTGGAATCATGCTGTATTTGTCTTTCTGTGGTCCTCCATATTTACTATCAGATTTAATTCGCTCTGTATCCCTACCCATCTCTTTCCCATGGTCCTACTTGAACTTTCCCTTTACTGTTCTGTATCATTATTTTTCACTGATGAGCCCAGTAAAGTACAATGGCCATGTCTCCTTTCTTATATACTTTTCCTCCCTGGGGTTAATGATACCTCTTTTTACATCTGCTTAACTTTCTATGTATTTATGACTAATCATTTCTTTCCTTCCATGGCTTCTCAATACAGTTTTCCTGAGGGAGAACCTCAGGTGGTCTTTCAGCATGAGGCTGTAATCTGGGCCGACAGTCCTCTAGGCTCCCTGACAGCTTCTGTTCTAGGGTCTCCCTTCACCATCATCCCGGCTCCTTTTTCTTCAGTGTTGGCCCTCTTTCCTGCATCCCATTTGTTCCTCTTTCTTGGTTATTTTCTCATTTCAGTGGAGCACATTTTTAATGAGCTTCCTGAAAAAAAGGTACATGGGAAGTCAGTGTTTTGACACCTTGCTTGTCTGATAATTCACCTCCTATACAACTGACTTGTTAAAGCATATGATTCACGGGCTTTAGTGCAGTCGTGGAGTCGTGCAAGCACTGCCACAATCTAATACATTTTCACTACCCCAAAAAGAAACCCCATGCCCTCAGTTATCCCCGCTCCGATTTTCCTGTCTCCCCCCACCCCACACTCCCAGCCCCTGGAAATCACTAATCTATTTTCTTTCTCTGGATTTGCCTATTCCTGGTATTTCATAAAAATAGGATTATACAATACATGGTCCTTTGTGACTGGGTTCTTTCAGCACTTAATCTGTATTTTGGAGAACAAGTTTAGGCTGCCAGAGGTGTTCTATCAAAGGTTTTGTTTCCCCTCAATGGTCAGCAGATAATGCCAGATATTGAACTTCAAATGGCTTTTAAACTTAGAGCAAAAAGAAAGCGCAACAGTTTTCAGGGAATTTTGTTACAGATATTCTGATGCACTGTTTAAACATGATTCTACTTAAACATTTCTTATAGTTTTATTAACATAATACAGGCTCCACATATTCAAAAAGTACAGCTTGATGAATTTTCACATAAGTATATATCCATGAAATGATTACCACAATCAAGATAATGAACATACATCATCTCCAGAAGTTCCTTGTGTCCTTATTCTCCTCTGTTCCCCAGGCTGTTGTTACTTCTTGTCCTCCACCTCTGCAGCGTCTCTTCTCCTGTCCAGGCCTTTTACCACTCAGACCGTCTCAGTGACCTCTCAATTTTTCGTCACCAGCATCTCCTCAATCTGCCTTCTCTCATCTCTGTTCATTATTGTTTCCTTTGTTCAGGTCTTCATCCTTTATGGCAGCTATTGTGACACACTCCAGGTCATCAATAATTTGCACTCTGACAATGTTTCTTCTAAACAAATTGGGCCTTTTTTTATTTTTATTTTTTTATTTTTAAGATGCTTCCTCATTGCCTCTGGGTGGAGTATATGGCATTCTGGGCTTTTATTGTTCTCTGATCCTTTATAGATTTCAGTTTGTTCCTGGCCCCCAAAATGCCAGTTCCTATTTGGCTCTGTGTCTTTGGTTGGGTACTTTCTCTACCTGAAATGTCGTTTTTACTTTTCTCTGCATCATGAACTTGTTACTATTCTTCAGGAACTCACACAGGTTACTGTGTCTGTAATGCCTTTGGCAACTGGGCTCTTCCTGCCTTATCAGACTATAGCATGTCTTAAATTTTATTTAATTATCCACTACCATACCCTGTTCAAAATTGATTTGCAGCAACTTCCAAAAATTCATGTAGCGGTAAAAAACAGATGGATGACCATATAAAAGCAAATAGACTATGAGGGTAGAAAAATAAAGCCAAGAATAAAGTTAGTATATGTTCCATCATACCCTGCACATTGCTGGAGGCAGCTTTCAGGTTTTACTCTGAACTTCTTTGTCAATGTGAAAAGGGAAGCATTACGTCAGAGTTTTCCCAGTGACTGTCAAATGCATAAAATCAGTTGTTCTGGAGAAGATCTTTTCCTGTTACCAAGAATTGAGAGAAATGTTTCTGGGCTGAGTGGGGAGGTGGAGGTAGTGTAAAGACAGCCTATAATACATTCCTGCCAAGTTTCATGAGGTGGCTTCTTCTGAGAGACCTCAATGTAGTTGTATAGCGTAACACCAAAACACAATTCATAAAAGCAGTTTTATAACAGCAAGGACTGTTACCCTAAAACAGCTGCTGCTTGGTCTGGCTTAATCTAAGGGTAAAATGTAGACTAGCCAAAAAAATAGTATTTATCACATTTTAGTGTTAACTGTTTTATATCTGTTTACCTCCAAAAGTGATCAACTGCTCCCAGTTTACCATGTTTTTCTTTGGTTTGATAGATGTACAAAACCTTAAAGGAAGGAATGAGGAGAGCCATCTATGACTGTGATCCGCCCAGGAATCATTACAGTGCTGTGCTTTGAATTCTGTGTACTCAAAAAGTCAGATTCAGATATGAGATCCAAGATCTACAAATAAATGGTCATAGATTTTCTTAACTATATTTCCAGGTACTGACCTGCATCTGAGGCAGTTTCAGCAGCCAGTATACCAGCTAAGTGAAATGGCAACAGCAGAGGGACTGCAGCTAGGCCAGTCTCCTTCCAGTGCTTACAGAAGAGAGCCTTGAAAAACATTTAATAGATTCAGCAGTGCTCAACGTTTTAAATTTAACTTTCCCTTTGTCTACTGCATTTGGGGCTAAGAAAGTCTTCACTGACATGATTAATGAGGCACATTCATAAAATATGCATTTTTAAGAGAAAAACAAAAATAGCAAATTTATTGAATGACTTCAGTTTTCCCAAGTAGCTCTTCTATAATTTAGGTCAAAGATGTTCTGTGATGACATAATACTTTATAATTTTTTTTAACAGTTGCTTTTCTTTATACACTTAGGAACTTGATAAAGAACTCCCAGTGCTTAAGCCATATTTTATCGATGATCCCGAAGCAGTTGGAGTTAGGGAAGCTGGCTTAAGAGTCACATGGCTGGGACATGCAACGGTAATGGTGGAAATGGATGAGCTCATATTTCTCACGGACCCCATCTTTAGCTCTCGTGCTTCACCTTCACAGCACATGGGTCCAAAGCGTTTTCGTCGTGCCCCATGCACTATAAGTGAACTCCCCCCGATAGATGCAGTCCTTATCAGTCACAACCACTACGACCACCTGGACTACAATTCTGTTGTTGTTCTGAATGAACGATTTGGTAATGAGTTGAGGTGGTTTGTGCCTTTGGGTCTCCTCGACTGGATGCAAAAATGTGGCTGCGAGAATGTGATTGAGTTGGACTGGTGGGAGGAGAACTGTGTCCCTGGACATGATAAGGTCACCTTTGTCTTTACACCTTCCCAACACTGGTGTAAAAGGACTCTAATGGATGACAACAAGGTTCTCTGGGGCAGCTGGTCTGTCTTGGGCCCTTGGAATCGATTTTTTTTTGCAGGAGACACTGGTTATTGCCCTGCTTTTGAAGAAATAGGAAAAAGATTTGGACCTTTTGACCTTGCCGCTATTCCCATTGGAGCATATGAACCAAGGTATGTAGACTTCCAAAGAAAACATTCTTGCTATTATTACTCCATAATAAGGTAACTGAATTTAAAAGTATAGTTATGATTTTGGAATACTACATAACTTGTGACGTTAATGGTGGACTCTGTTTTACATTGGTTGGGGTTGGTGGGTCAGATTCAGTTAAAATTTTTTAATTTTAAAATATTTAAATCAGTCATATCAGTAAAATAATTATTCAAAATCAGAAATTATATTACCAATAAAAAAGGACCAAGGTTTAAAGAATCACTACACTTAGCCAGAAATTCATGTACTGTTCCAACTAGAGTTAAACTGATAAGCCAGTGTAAAATCTAACTCTTGTTCTTCCTTTCACGTGGAAGATAGTCTCTTTATATAACCATTTTTTGCTCCATGACTAGAATGTGCCCATCTTGTCCTATAGCTCTCTTGTGTTTATCAGAGAAAAACTGAGGAATGGTCTATAGCATTAGTCCCTTGGAATGGGCTTATTTCAGTGAGCACTGAATTTAATCTGGAAATGACATTGTTGCATTTCTCGCTGCTTGCCCTCTAACCTTTCCATACTTACTACCTGTCTTCAGAGCAGGTAAAGGTCACACTAGTATTCAAGAATTAGGAGACCCATCCACTGGCTGTGATTTCCTTAATACTGTCTATTTAAAGAAAATAAAAATGATTTCAAGGAATTCAGTTAGATTTCAGTCAACTCTGGTTGATATGTACAAATTGAGAGAAAATAAAGTTACAATAGCAAAGGGCAGGCTAATTTAAAAAATATTTTTCTAAAGTGCCTGCAGATACATATAGAATTGTATGTAGGGTCTATTTTATTTAGGCGATCCTACAAGCAGAAGACCACTAATAGATGAATTGAGCAAATCTGATCATTGATTTCCATCTCATTTTATTATACTTATTAACGTTATAAGTTCACTAAAACCATTTCTTCACTATCTTTATTAATGCTTATTTCTCTCTTTTATGTTTTTATAGTTTCTTTAATGGGCTATTTTTACCTTATTTTTAAAAATTATAAATCAGTAATAGTTTTGACTTTTACTTTTTCACTTAATTTTAATTCTGAATTCTAATGAAACCTCTCATCAACCTGATTACAAATGAATTTCATGATACTGATCTTTAGTCAACATGTTCTTGATGTAGTATATCTTACTTGTAATTATAAAAATAAGTTTTCATATCTATCAATATATTTATCATATATATGTGATTAATAGAATGTGTACAGCCTGACTACACAAATTCACTCACAAAATTCTCCCTTCCTGCATGCATTGCAGCTGTCTTGTTACTAAGATGGTAGGAAGGGGAGGACATTATTTGCTCTAAGAGAATTAAATTGTGGTAGCCTGTACTGCGTAGTCCATTTCTCTGTTCAGTATTAAGTTTTAGAAATAAGGGTATCAACAAAACTTCAGAGTACTCTATAAATTTAAGAAGTTTACACCAAAAATGACTAAGTAATCTGCTTAGAATGTTTCATCCTTAGGGATGATTCTATTCAAGTCAGGAATTTAAATTTTGTTTTTAATTTTTACACCAAGGTAAAAATTTTACATTTATTTCAGATAGACGTGAGGGTAGAAAGAAGTATGTTTATCCCTTTGATTTGCAGTTGGAGTTTTAAAAAAGTGAAGAAACACAGACAACTTTTCCTCTTGCCCAGAATTTTGACTGTCAGGAGATAAGGCAGAACAGCGCCTCTCTAATCTGCCTCCAAAGAGAGAGCCCAGTGGCTCTGTTTCTAGGCTCCCATAGGGCCTGGCAACTCCTAACAGTGAACAACCCTCCAGCTGTTGCAGGTAGACGAACTTTTCCATGATGTGTCCTACAAGATGCAGAAGCACCTGTGCTGAATCCATATCCTTTAGTCTTAACTGCAGCAGTAGTTGGCAGTAGCAGACCTGGGATTATAATGTGAAGACAATGTTGTTTTTCTTCTCTTAAACTGATGGCTGGGAAAGCAAAAGATTTGCTTGTGGATAGTACACTTTTCACTTTGTATCAGAGATAATAATTCTTTCTGCTCCAAGTGTTCTCTGTTCTTTCCAAGGTGTTAGACAGCCTTTCAGTGTTTCTACACTCTCTAATTAGTCTCTCTCATGAACCCTCTTTTCTTGCCAAACCAAACACCTCACTGTTCATTTGTATGTTGTTTAAATAAAATCCTTGAATAGTAATTGGATTTTTTTTTTGCTTCTGATCTTTAAATATTACACATTAATTTTTGTTAGCATTTCACTTTAGCAAGTTTTTAAAAAAATTCTTTCAGCAAGTTATTCAGGTTCTTTTGTAATTGGAGTTTTGGTTTCTAATTCTTTACCCATTATTTGGTTTCTTTGATTCATACCAGGATTGTAAATTACCTACTTTTTAAAGTAACAGTAAGATATATCTTCAGAATAAATCATCAGTAAACTCAAGATACATGTGAATTAAAACCTTACTATTCAAAGGGGCATTTTGCTTGGAGCCTTATTTATTGTATAGCAGTTTGTACACGAAAGATATTTGCTTATTTTTTTCCATCGGAAAAGTGGAATCAAAGGAGATTTGTCTACTGTGATTTATTCCTGTGCAGAATATTGAAGGCCGATTAGATGAAGCAGTAACTAGAACTTGGTATATATTTCAAAAGCCAGAAGTAATAAATTGCTGTGTTTCTTTAGGTGGTTTATGAAATACCAGCATGTAGACCCAGAAGAAGCTGTAAAGATTCACATTGATGTTCAAACAAAGAAATCTATGGCAATTCACTGGGGTACTTTTGCCTTAGCAAATGAGGTAAGTTTGATCATGATAGTTACTGGTTATGTATTTGCATTTGCTTATACACATGCTCTTATACTCTAAGTTTCTATATTCTTCAGAAATATTGGTAACATCTAATTCTCTAATCTTTGGCTCTGATCACTGTTTCACTACATGAAATTCCATTTAGAATTGGAATTTCATGTAGTGAAACAGTGATCAGATTTCATGCAATCTAATGATATTTAGTCTAAGTTGGCACCAAATTTGATATATGTTGTGTTTGGATAGATTTGATAAGTATGACATTTCTATTGACTTAACAATTAATGACTCTAGTATTAGAAAATGTGATTATTTGCTTATGCTTCAGTGAGAAGGGCATTATTTTAAGTAGGAATATGTTGGTTATTTTAGTTTGAATTCTTATATGAAATAGCCTCCAAATATATGTATGATTAACCTTTTTCCATTTTTTTTCCTCTCTCTGCCCTTTGCCAGCATTACTTAGAGCCTCCAGTGAAACTGAATGAGGCTCTAGAAAGATATGGATGTAAGACTGACGATTTTTTTGTCTTGAAGCATGGAGAATCAAGGTACCTAAAAACCGATGATGAAAACTTCGAATAAATATGAACACAGGAGCTTTTAATGCAACAAGCATCATCTGCTATAAATTTGAAAAGACTAAGAAGTTCATGATTATGTTTTGTTACATTGGGAAACAACTTCTGCAAGTTTTTGTTTTATGTTTTGTGTACTAACTTGCTTACTAATATGATTGCCAGTTCATATAAGAGATCAAGTATGGGTCACTTAAATAATGAATTGGCATATGTTGATTTTAAATCTTGTCTCAATGGTATAAGCATTGAATGGAATTTTTTTTTACTTAAGTATTATACTTTAGTGGTAGAATTTTCTGAGGTTATGAAAAACTTATTTTAAAGACTCATTCCTGTTCTGTTCTTAAAGATCTTCTGCAAGGTGAGTCAAGGCTGTCTATATACATAGGTTTTTTTTTTAGAGGCCTGCTCACATAAACATACTTTTTATATTCATATTAATGAGGAAATTCACTCCCACATGCTTATAGCAGTTCTTGCTCTACTAAAATTAGCTTATATGCCAAATATTGATATCTTTTTTTAACCATAAAAATGGGAGTTTGGGCTAAGTTGCCATTTTTAAAGACTTCATTTTTTAAAAGAGGGGAGCAGTATATTCTATTGCATGTCTACAATCCCCCAATCAAAAGCCCTGAGTTGGAAAGATGAAG